TTTGGTGATCAAATGAAACGGGAAAAAAGAACACTCTACAATTCTTATTATTATACAATTTATATTAGAAATTATACATAAAAATAATAAATTTCACTTAGAAATTGAAAAACATAATCATTATTAAAAAATGGATTGAAAAAGATATTTTAAAAGACATAGAATTAAATGGTGGTGCAAGGCATTAGACAATATCTAAGTAAATGAATCATCGTACCATCCACCTTACTCATGAAATTTAAGGTTCAATATTAAAAATGCAAACTCTCCTACAGCTGATCTATAGAACAATCAGAATCTCAATCTTGATTTTCTTAATGAACTTAAGAAGCTAAAAACAGTTCTCAGCTGTTTTGTGGATGAATAAAGGGACAAAAATATCTAAAACACTCCAAACAGTTAGTGAATCTTATTATGACATTATGTATCATTATTAACATTACTGCTATGATAGCAATTTTACAATCTTAGCACCTTTACCTGGACACACCTGGCATTATCTGAACACTGTGAAATTTAAATGTATATCAAATTAGGTTCTACAGTAGCTGTTAAAATAGTTCCATGCTTGGTTTACCCCAAATATATGTTTACTTTTTAGAATACAAGCTCTGCTCCTTTGCCAAAAAAAAAAAAACCTGAAAGAATATGGAATAATAAGAATAGAAAAAACTCTAAGTAACATAATAATTTTGGGGGGCACCTCTTAAGTGAAGGGAGTACAGTGTTGACACTGGTGTTCAAAGCTGGGTGCATAAGACAGAGCTGCTCTTGCTTTCTTGTTCTATCCTCTTAGTGTGGCTCTAAAGGCCACATACCAAATATAAGTATGAATACCATCTTCTTCTGGCTTCAGACAAAACTGCATTACCCTAGGACTGACCCAAGTAGGTTGACCCACTTCTGAATATATTCACAGTGTATCCACAGGAGAAAATAATAAACTTTACTCACAAAAAGAGAGACAGATTCTTGATTGTACAAATAAAGGTTCAAGATAAAGGGATTTAGAGTGGATCATAGTGTGTATGTCTGGGAGAGCCTCAATTCAGGCCCAGCTCTACCTATGTGGATGAAATATAATAAAAGGGTACTAATAGACCTATTTGGATTTAGCATCGTGTAGGATCATGCAGATAAGCCGTCCACAGTGTAGAGGAAGCAGCGACACAGGGAAGGAAGCAGGCTTCCCAGGAGACAGGAACAGCAGTGCTATCTTGGTGCCGGCTTGCAAGAGTGGGCATGGTGCTAACGAAATTGGCAAGGGCTGTTGAGACTGCAGCCACACATTCAGCACCCTGGACAGCGTCCAAGCCCCAGAAACAGGTTGGCAGGGAGACCAGAACTTCAGCGACATCAGTAGCGCCACATGTGTTTTCAGAAAATTTTTGTGGGATCACCTTTGCTGGGCACTGAAAGGGACCAGGGCATCTAAATAAGAAGTCCAAAAAACAAATAAAAATGGCAAAAACAATGATCATAAGGGCTGAGGGTTGGCTTACAATTCCTCAATGAACAGATGTAATACAGAAGACTGCCAGAATTTTTCAGGAGCAGCTTTCAGTGTGGAGGTAGGAAGTGGTGGGGAAGGGATGGATTGCTCCAGGTACAGACAAAGCATAAGAAAATCTGTATAAGCCTGCTTCCTAGTAGAACTGAGTCTTGCATAAAGAAGCGACAAAAAATGCACTTTAACCACCCCCACTTTGACTTTACATTTTCCCTCAAATTCACCATCTCCTCTTTCTTAATCCCTTCATCACAAGTTTCCTTTCATGGAAAAGGTTTCCAAAGGATTCTACACTTACAAGCTCCAATTGTTCGGTTTGTGTCCCCCATTTTCTTCTCTGCACAATGAGTTTTTGGGTAGCACTATATGAAAAACTGTACTTGATAGGGTTATCAATTATGCCTTCTGACTGCAAAATCTTATTGATAAGATAAAATAACAATCTTATTGATATTTTACACATCACAAGCAAATTTGACTTAAATATGTCTCTTCCTCTTGGTTTTCAAGACCCCTAACCCCACTACCTTTTACTTCTGAATGCCCTGCTGGCCAGCCATTTCAGTATTTCTTTCTGGCTCCTCAAACAGCCCATCTATTCCCTTGCCAGCAAACCTACTCAGATATGCTGTCTTTATCCTTCTTGGGATTTCTTAGCCAAACAAGACCATCCACATCCATGATTTGTACCACCACCTCCATGCCAATACCCAACACATCTGAATCCACAGACCACATCCTCTTATCATGTAAAATCCTATTCACCAACGGAAGCCACAGCAATGCATTAACATGATCTGTTTCTTCATAGAATTACAGTCTGGCATATCAGGTAAAAGGCACTGGGTTACTCCACTTCCATATCTCAAAGGTATCTCAAATGAAAGATGTAGCAGTATAACTCACTGTCTCTTCTCTCACACAATCAGACAACATGTTATAAATTTTAACATCTCTGATTCTGAAGCCGTATCTCCCTGCGCATATTCAGTGCTACCTCGAGTACTTTAACTCATCCCGACATCTTTTACTGCTTCTCAGCTCATCAGTTCCACCCTCTCCCAATTTACTTTCTATCTTGTGATCCATGGTGCTTCCACATCTCAAATGTGGTAACTTTCATAGATAAAATATTTTGGCGGCTTCATTGTATCAAGACTACACTCAATTAGATTGGCATACAAAACACTAACATACATTTTGGGATAACTTTTCCAAAAATATCCCTCATTATGTTTCTGTGCAAAGCTTTTGTTTCGCTCAAACCAAATAACTTACAATTTTTCTGGTGGAAAAGCAATACTGATATTTGTCATTGGGTATTATAGTCATACAGTTGGGAAGTCCCCTGTCATGCCTTCTTCTTAGCTAACACTTCTAAGTGCTTCAATATAAGCTTTGGTGTTATGCCTTGAAAGTGCTGTTCTATATTGTGGCATAGTTTGAGTTAAAGCCACCTTCCTTCCTTAAAATGATGTATTTATCTTTATGACAAAATCACACTGTACTTCCTGTCTCTCTATGTAGAATATAAATAGGATCTGAATTTCATGTTTGTTTTATTAGTATTTACTAGTACTTAGCATGTTAGTAAATGAATAACTGATAGATGAATTTACTGATATATTTAAAATTCCTGCTAAATTTCCAATTTCCTAAATTTTCTAATCCTTATAATTAGATGTCATATAAAATGCTTTGTAATTCTTAAATGTAGAATAAAAAAATTCCCCCTAAAATTGATTTAAAAGTTCTACAACAACACTCTGAAAAATTCAATATGACTCAAATATTTTGGGAAACACCTTATTATTCATAATAGTTAATAGGTCTCTGGTCTGAAATTAGAGAAATGTGCATTACATTCATGTAGATCAAGATTTTGTTTGTTTGTTTGTTTTTCTCAGTGATATAAACACTACGGATTTCATTTACCTATGTTTATCTCTCTGGAAGAACCACTTCTAAATAATACTGCAAAATAATTAAAACATAGCCAAGTAGTCCTCTTTAGATTTTATTAACCCATACATTGCAATAAGCAGATCTTACAACTCTGTCTCTTGAGCTTCTAGGTAACATCTGGTAGTTGATGTGTCTAAGTCCTGTTACACAACATTTTCTGGCTTCTTAGTGTCATCCAAGGGATTGATGTGTGACTAGACTAACCTGATTTATTCTGCCTGCTGCTCTCATTTATACAGGCTGTTATTAATGGATAGACTGAAGTGTGGTTTATTACAATTCACTTTTTAGTACCGAACTTTATAGTGTTGAGGTTTATATGCGTATTTTCACATGTATGATATAGCAGTGTAATGAACACACAGATTTATACACAAATTAATCATCATCATGTTTTCTGAACAGACTTTACAAAAAATTGTCTCATAATTTATATAGACTATAATTCAGGCTTCTGTTTCTAAAATTCATTACATTTTTTAGAAGGCTATGTAAGTGGCTCCTCTAATGCTCTTCATATTCTTAACACTCAATGAAAAATGCGTCATAAATTCAGGAGATAAATTGTAGCCTCCATGCAGCTCTAACCTATTGCTTTTGTGAACTCAACTTAACAACTATGTATATATGTTATTTACATTTTCTGTAATCATCAGAACTGGAGGAAACTTTGACGCATCTGTATATTGATGTATCCATATAAAACAGCTTTCCCAAAATATAAATTTACCATTTTTCATTGCCAAGCTGTTTGAGTCATAGATATTTCTGACATTTAAGTGCTTTACCTGGTTAAATCCTCCTACTGTAGGTCTGTACTTGAATGTTAATCTTTCAAGAAGACGTTCTCTGACCTCTAGACCGTTAAGTTCTTTTGCTGTATTCTCGGATATCATCCTATTTTCTCCATCATAACTCCAAATGCTTTATTCTTGCTTAAGGTTGCATTTTCCACTAAACTACAAGCTCTGACTTCTTCATTCTTATTTGCCCCATTTTGAACCATGCTTGTACCATAATAATTCTGAAGGGAAATTGGTTTAAGAAATGAATTCTGACTACATCACTGTCTCTCACCAACTCCCTGATGCTCAGTGCTTTTCTGACACTCACGTCATCCCCAAACACAACCACAGGCTGACCACATTGCTTATACTTTCCCATCATCTCAGGTTCTCAGGGATGGGGGTGAGAACCAGATGAGGACATGATCCATGGATGGCATGGAATATATGCCGTGCATATATCTGCTGACTTTAAAAAACTGAAAAATGAATGCCTTCTTTGGGAGCCTACTAAAATGTAGGCTGTGTACAACTGTGTACAACTGAAGACTCAAAATGTCCCTGAACTAAATAATTATTCCAGCATCCCCATGCAAAACATTACTAATATATGTCTCATTAACCAACTCAATCTCTTTTTAAGAATACACATATTTTTTCACACTTATGACTTCTACCTCTTTAACATTCCTATGGTAAAATCAGCAAGTCCAAAGTGAATATACCTTTTTTTTAAAATATATAAACAAAACTGCCCAGGTTTATTCGCCAGTAGCCCCTCCTTCCTTCTTGTGGCCTGCTGCTGTGTGCCCTTCCACACAGTCAGGGAAGGGTTTCTCTGGCCTCCTCAGCTGTAATCTCCTGGGAGTAAAGGTCAGTGAAGAAAGCTGGCAGCCAGTACTGGGCCTCACCTGGTGCCTGCAAGTCCAGCCACGCCAGCCCTTCCCTCAGCAGGTGTTCCAGCACTTGCCACGCTCGCTCAGTCTCCCATTTAAGACTGGCTCTGATCTCACTGACAGTCACGTAGACATTTTTCTCTGCCAGCTGCAGCACCACGGTGTGATGCATATTGAGCTCAGCTGGAACAGACTGAATGAGGTAAGTGCCGCCCACAGGGATGATGCAGAAGCCAGTCCCAAGTGCCTTTAGTTTCTTGATGGCCCTGATCAGGTCGCCTTGACTGACAACCTGGGCGAACTTGCCCCTTCACTTCAACACCTGTTGATGTAGTTCCTCCAGAGTTATCAGACCTCCATTCCGATGATTCAGTGCCAAGCACACTTCGGTAATTTGGACACCTAGTTCATAATAGAAGTCCCCCAGGCCCAGCATCTCAGACCAAAATCCTTTTCCAGAGACTAGAGGATCCACACCAATGGTGGCAAACACGTCCTAGAACTGCACGTGGAACTCAGGATTCTTCTGGATCTCCTGCTTGTGCTTGCTGGCAAATTCTTCCAGGTTTGTCTTGAACATGTCCAACTGCTTTGACATCTGGGCTAGTTGGTCCTCAGCCAAGACCGTCCCTCGCTCCCTATACTTGGCCTCTGAAAGTTAGTGCTTCATGAAGGCGCCAGCTCCCACCCCACAGCGGTGCATCCCCGTCACGGGCCTACGGCCTCCCAGCTGCCAGAGCCCCAAGTCTCGGCGTCCCCATGAATATAACATTTTAACAATCAACCTTCAAGAGGTAGATGAATTTTCATTTAGATACTTGTTTTATTATTTAAAGAAAGGCTTAGCTGTGTTACTTGTATTATTGTCTTGGCAGACTGTTTAAAATCAATACTCCAGTGTTTAGAACTAACTTTTCATTTATAAATAAAACATCTTAATATTTTAATAAAATACAACATACACACAATATATTAGTGTACTGTTATATTACGGAATAAGTTTTAACTATTTTAAAAATGATAATTATCCCTACAATAATAATATTAAAAGACAAAACTTTATAAATGACAAAGCTATAGTTTAACCAGTTACATTTTAGAAAGAAAGGAAAAGAGACATTAAATAAGAAAAGGTTTAGGCACTAGAAAATAAGTTTAATTAAGGGAGTATAAGAAGATCTCACTGAACTTTAAAAAGAACACAGAAATATATATCTGCGGCCGAATACCAATATCGTTTTTAAATTGTGTGATACTTCACAAAGTTAATCAAGTATTCTGAAAATTAATTACTTTATGTGTAATATAAAAGCAATGGAAATGTAATCTATTTCACAACACTATTACTCAGATCATAATGAAATTGGGTCTACAGGAAATTTATGCTTATAATTCATTCACTTATATATTTTTAGTTCTTCCCTCATCTCATCTTCACCTTTCTCACTGAGTGGAGGAATAATAATATGGTATCTTCAGCTTTTACTGTTAGATTGTTTGAACAAAAATGTGTTAAATATATGGTATTTCCCAGGCAGTGGTGATAAGAAAATACAGCAAGACTTCTCAGCTGAAGAACTCACAATAATTTGGGGAGGGGAATACTATAATAAAAAGATTATTATGATAAGTACAAGTTATCTCTCACAAAGGAGAATGGTGAGGAAAGGGATCCTGTGGAAGATCAAACCTTCATCTGAGTAGGAGTTCGAATTTACTAAGTTGGAATATGTGGCAGACTTTCTCCACAAAGATTGAGCAAACAACATTTTTAAGGGCCCAAATCATGGTGCACCAGGAGCTCAGCATGTGTGCTTCAAGACGGTGTTAGATCAAGGTTCTGGACACCACAGCATCTAAAGATGAGATGATGGAGATAGGGAGATCTACAAAACACTCTGTAGACCTTGCTAAGGAGTTTGTCTTTTATTCTGGAGGCAAAGAGATAATTAAAGAAGTTTAATTAGACCAGTATATAATCAGGTGTAAATTTTAGGAAGTCCACTTTAACAGCTGTTTGGGTAATACAGGAGGAATGAATCCAACATAGGAATACAAGTTGAAACTCCTGTTTATTCTATTCTAGTAACCCAGGTATGAAATTAGGAAAGACTGAATTAGTGCTGAGATACAAAGCTAAGACACAGAGTCAAGGAATAATTACTAGAGGTGGAATGAGAAGGAAGAATACGGCTTATTTCTAGTTTATTGCTTGGTGGACCTGAAGTTGGCAGAACCATTAATCCAGATATAAATGCAGAAGGAAAGTAATACTTTCTTGCAAAAATATTGCTACTCCTCAATTTGAGGAAGAAATGGGACATGCACATAAAAACTGCAGTAACTTGAGAAATGAATGGATGAGAAGAAAGTAATACTTGATGTACATTCTCCCACATGTGGACACTACAGCTAATGGCTGAAAAACACGTATGACTTCTGGTGATTTCCTCAGAAATCCGACAGTGTCGTGAGAGGAAGGCAAATAAATATGTAAAGAGATCATTACAACACAATGTGAGAGGGCAACAAGAGACATATCGGTTACAGTGAGAACAGAGACGGGGTCCTTCTTGGCCTTGACACAGGAAGAAAGAAGGGATGAAATGAACGGAATGACTAATGGGGCAGTATTCAGAGACAATTCGTAAAAGAAAGGACTTCTCAATGGGCCATGTCCCGGTCATGCTATGTGAGCACAGCCTTGCTGCAGGCACACTGCCTTCTTTTTTGTTTGTTTCCTTGTTTGTTTTGAGACAAACAGTGGCTCAATCTCAGGTCACTGCAACCTCCGCCTCTCATGTTTCCTGCCTCAGCCTCCTGAGTAGCTAGGTCTACAGGCATGTGCCACCGTGCCCAGCTAAGTTTTGTAGTTTTAGTAGAGACAGGGTTTCACCATGTTCACCAGTATGGTTCAATCTCTTGACCTCATGATCCGCCCGTCTAGGCCTCCCAAAGTGTTGGCATTACAGGCGTGAGCCACTGTGCCAGGCCCACACCACCTTCTTTTATTTATTTGTTTGTCTGTTTGTTTATTTATTTATTTAGTCCGAGTCTTGCTCTGTCACCAGGCACCAGGCTGGAGTGCAGTGGCGCAACCGTGGCTCACTGCAATCTCCGCCTCCTGCATTCAAGCAGTTCTCCTGCCTCAGCCTCCCAAGTAGCTGGAACTACAGGTGCACACCACCACGCCCAGCTAATTTTTGCATTTTTTAGTAGAGGTGGGGTTTCACCATGTTGACCAGGATGGTCTCAATCTCTTGACCTTGTGATCCACCTGCCTCGGCCTCCCACAGTGCTGGTATTAAAGGCTTGAGCCACCTCACCCGACCACCACCTTCTTTTAGAGCCCAAACGTGCCCTGATATTTCTCACCTCTGAGCTTTTGCACCGGTTGTTTCCACTGTCCAGGATGCTCCTCCTTTCTCTGCCAGCCCATGATCCACCATTCTTCTGCATGGTTGACTTCTATCAACCTACCAACCTCAACTCAAAGTCTCTTTTGCAGGGAAATCTTATCCTTCTCTCATAACTTAGTTCAAGTCCACTTGTCATACACTCTTTATACATTTTCTTCTTTTCCTTTACCCCGCTTAATTGTAACTGTAAATCATGATTTAAATACGATACTTAGTATTTGTAACTAAGGTCCTTAAGACTGAGGTCCGCATCGATCTGGATGTTCAGTGTTCCCAGTGCCCAGTACAGAAGAACCATAAATAGAACAAGTCACATATTTATCTGATGAATAAATGTATACATAAATGAATGAGTTGAGGAAAACATAAACGAAAGCACAGAATATTTACATTGCCAATCATTTTGCCTGAACGGGGGCCTTGTTTCATGGGGAGGATACTGAAGGAGGGCTGGCTGTACAGACAGGGATCAGAGTGTGAAAGCCCTTGACTGTCATGGTAAGAAACCATTTACCAAGCTACTGAGCGGTTTTAATCAGGGGATGGATACAGTTAGATTTTTGTTTCATGTATCTCTGATCTAACTCTGCTACATCAATAGAAAATATGTTTGGAAGAAAGGAGATGAGTATTACATTTGACCAGGTGAGATACTGGGCACCAAAACGAATGTAATGCCTGTAGGAATGGAGAAAAGAAAAAGTGTGAGCTGCTTCAGAATGTAAATTCACTAGGAGTTCATAATTGACTGAAGATAGAAGGAAAAAGAAAAGTCAAATATGTTTCGTATGATGTGGACTTGACTGGGTGAATATTGTGCTAATGTTCAACAAATGAAGATGTGCTGTTGTTCAGCAGAATAATAATATTCTAGTGTTCTCAAGAGAACAGTGCGCCACTATTCAATAAACGGGGAAAAACTTGTACTTGGGGAATTTTTGAGAAATGGGTGTTCACTTGGGGATCTGGGGTCAAAAAGTTCAAGTTTGGACATCCATAAACCCTAGGTGTACATGGTACATCTAGGGAATTGCTGGTACGTAGCTCTGAATTTTGAATTTAATTTCCACAGAAAATGCAGTAAAATAAATAAGCGAATACCAAGTGGTCAAGATATAAGAATAATCGTTGCGTTGTTCAGTAAAATCAAAACTGAGTCAAAGTATTATTTTTCCCTACTGTAATGATATCTATGACTAACCCTAATTAATCATTGTAATTTTCATAGGAAGAACTGCACAGAAGTTAACATGAAGGATTTAGAGTCAGACTGCACAAAATTTAAATTTTTATGCTGCAATTTTTAAAGCGGCTGATTTTGGGTCAAGTTGCCTAACTTTTCCAAGTTTCTATTTTACCGAACTTAACTCTATGGAATTCAAAGAATACTACTACTACTTTATTTCCAACCATAGGCTCTGGCTAAAGTAGAATTTCTTTTTCCTTGTCCTTAAATGAAAGCTTGGGAGAATCCTATGATTTTTCAATTCTTAGAAACAAACAAACAAATAACAATAACTACAATAAAAACCTTTTAGGACTCACTTTCTGATAGTTAAGCTGCTTAACTGCCAATAGCCACACAAAACATTCTCCCTTTCCCGTCACCATCACCTATGACAGATGTCTCTATGAGAGACCTACAGAAAGAAAAAGGAGACAAGCCTGTCCTTCTTCCTCCTGGCGCCCTCACCCCTCTCATCTTCTCCAACTCCCTGGCTGAGAAAGAGGTTAAAGACAAAGGAGAAAAAGTTTGCACATTTAGCAGGTGATATTTGTGGTTAACTCTTGACTTCAGATGAATACCTTGTGAGTGGCAGGAATTTACATATCGGAGGACATAGTTGTATGATCACTTTGGGCTCCTCCTTTCTGATCAATTCTCTGTGACTGATGTCTTAAGACAAGTCTTGTGACAGCTCTAGTTTCCTTCTCCCTGATATGCCACCTGGATGGCAGGTTCTTTCAAGATGGTTTCAGCAGTGATCACTTGGCTTGTAGGTAACTTATACATTATTGCCAAACCAAGATGTGACAGTATAGGCTTGACTCAGTGTTTCCTGCACACTTCTACTGCCATCACAGGCTCCTCCATCCAGACTCTAGCCTGTGAAATTTTTCTAGTGAGAAGTGGGCACCATTCCCTTTGCTTGTAGGCTTCTAAACTCCAGGGCATGAACTCTCTAGCTCCACTGTTCCACTTCAGTTTTGTGCTACTGGTTCTCTTAAAGAATTCCTAGCCAGGATAAAAATGTTTCTATTCTAAGACTTTGGAAATTTCCATTTTCCATTTATTAAAGGCCACTGGAAATTAAAAGTAAAATTTAAAGCAGAAACTCAGTCACTTAAATTGTATCCAGTAGTTGTTTTTAGAATTTTAGGAGGTTCCTCCCCACTATTTTTCTCACCTATCACATTGTCATTAAGTTTTGAGGCAACGGGAAAAATTAAATTTTGCTGTATTCATAATAATTATACATCTTTCAGGATTGTTTCAGCAGCTACAAGAGATAAAGCATAAATGATCTAAAAAGATTTTTGCCTATTATTATTTTCCTAGTGTAACACTAAGCATTCCCTACCACATGATCTTTAACAAATTTAAACTGTTGTTTATTGTCAAAAGAAAGCAAATAAATAAATGATCTTTTTTTTTTTTGTATCCCCGGCTACTGTTCAGAACTGAGTACCAAGGAGAAGGTCTACTGAGCGTGAAATGAAGAATCTGAATCCCAGCCTGAGTAAAAAGAAACAGTGCAGAATTTAAAGTTACAAGAGTGGGTCTGGATATTAGCGCTCCAGTTATTACTCGTATCAATGTGCGCAAGCTACGTAACTACTTCAAAATTCGAATGATTCATCTATGAAACAGGAACACAGGAAAAAAGATGTAATTTTGTTCTGGAAAATCAGGGGATAAATGCTCCTAAAAGCAGTTTTAATGGAACAGTAAACAATTCTACAGTTTTAAAATATTACAGCTGCAACAGTCTTGGATGACGTGAAGTTCTATGCATTTCCTTCATAAATGGAGGCCTAAGGGGCTGAACCACTCCTAAGGTCACCTGGACAAGTTCTTGATCCAGGGCCTAAATGGGCTTTGAAGGCGAGATAACTTTCTCTTATTTCAGTAAATCTCGTTTACTTCTAAAATGCTTATTTCTTTTAACTCTTGTCACATAAAAGACACAGACACCCTCCCTAAGGTATAGAGTATAAATAGAGTAATATTATCTACATGAAAGAAACTGAAAAATGGGAAGAGGCAAACTTCCTGTGATCCTAATTTCCAAGCATATTTAAGGACTATTATAAGTTTTTTGTCTTAAATTTAGCTGTAGCCCTTTGTATTTTCCATAATTAGATTTTGTTTGTCTGCTACTCCTGGAGAACAGGGGCAGACTTCGTATCCACTGCTTCCCGTGCCTAATGTATAGCAGGTACACAATGAACATCCAGTTAATGAATTGATGTACTGTAAGAGCTAAAGGACACCGTGATGCTCTCGGTCAGTTGCTTCCGCCTCTCTGTAGCTTGACTTATGTTCTAGAAGTACATCCTCCATGTTTAATTCCTTTTGGTTTTCAGTCTTTAGGGGTTATCATTTAAAATGTAGATTGCCCTAGACAGAGTGAATAAAAGTCCTCATTATGTAAAATTCCTCATCCTTAAGGATTGGTTGATAGGGACATTCTACAGTGAGGACACTAGCTCAGAATAATATCTGCATGACTGAAACACCAGATAAGATTCTGAGATAAGAACTGAGGATAAGGGAAGCCTGGCAGACAAGTGGGGAATTACCAAAAGCGAAGCTACCCCTGGGCTCACCACAATTACCTTCTCCATTTGCTACATGTGGGCAGTTATTTGATCCAGTCCAGGGTCCTCATCCACATTATCAGAGCACGGATTAAAGGCAAAGGAACACTGCAATAAACAAATGCCTGAGTGCCAGTCAAGTGTGTCCCATTTCAAGGATCATCCTTCCAATGATATGAGCAATAGGAGAGCAATTATTGAAGATGGTTTATAAAGATCTTAAAAAGTTGCTTAGTAGCCTAGAGAAATTTTCCACAAATTATGCATTATATAACCGAACAAGAAATTTGAATTTGCTCCAACAGGAAATTCAGAGATTAGAAAAAAAAAAAAGACAGAACTTCTTGGAAGTTATATTCTTAGACGTAACCAACAATTCCGATAAAAGATTGTGGCTGATTGAAGTTTAAAGTAAGGTGAAGTAAGGTAAATGACCTAGTGAGACCAGTCACTATTTGTTTTAAGGATTCAGGTAGAACAACTGACATTGGAAATGATCACAATAGTACAGTAGAGAAAATCATGTGTACCCTTATGCCTTTCAGAAACAGATCAGGAAAGCTCATTTTTTGGTAACCAGCCTCATGTAACTGCCATAATTCAGAAAAAACAAAAGTCCCTGTGTAAGAGAAGGCTGCAAGCATGAGACACAAGAAAAACTCTTTCCTTACCTCGAATCATAAAGTGTATTTTTATGGTCAGTCCACCTATCCCCCCCAAAAACTGATGCCAACTGGTAACTTGCTAAGATTGTTTATAAGGAAAAAAGCCAACGCTGAAAACAATGCAAAGTTCCAAAATACACAATGTTGTGTTCTAATTTGTTTAGATAAGAACATTAGCTCGAACTCATATAATATTCTATGTTAATACATGGATGTTTTATTCGCTGGAGTTTTGTACTTAGTTCTCCAATAGGCTCCCCTCTCCACCTTCCCTGGCCATTATTCTCATTTCAGCTCTAAATATCTGACATGCTCACAAAGACATCTCATTGGTACGTCTCTTGCAACATCTTTACAAGTAAAAAGAACATTTTCTATTCTTTTATTTTCTAGCAAAAGATATGACATTAACCAATTACTGAATTACTAAGTGCAGCAGCCACTGTCATTTCTACTTCTCTGTCTCAACACTCAGACTTCCTCTCACTAAATTTTATTGATACCAAGTTTATTCTTTCACTACATTGCCACAGACACTACTGTGATATTGCTTCTAACAATTTCTCACTTGCATCATTTTAATCGTCTTATTTTTTCTGTTCTTTTATTCTCTCTCTACTCAATTCATCATCCACATTCTGATAAATCACACCCTTACAACAGAGGTCTCAAACATGACTATCCAATTTAAAACATTAAATTACTTCCCACATTTTCTAAAATTATGTGTGAATCACTGGCACGGTTTCCAGAGTTGTTCACAATCTGAATCAGATGATTACTTCAGTCTTATCTAATCTCTTCTCGTTCCAAAGTTACACACCTACTTTTCAAATGGTCTTGACTACCTGATATGCATCCACAGATTTTTTCGTATCTGGTGTCTCATTCATTCTACATGCTTTATTTCATTTTAGTCATTTATTCGTTCATTGACTTATGCAGGTAGTTATTCAGGTAAATTTCATTAGACATCAGCTATTGCTGAACACTGATGAGGCACCGGACATGTAAAGATGTAAACCGAATTTGTTGGGTTTTGTTTGTTTGTTTGTTTTTCAGGAAGCTTGGTGTCCATATAGAGAAAGAACGTTTGATTGCAGTGTGCTTCACAAGCATGTGAGGGAGCTGTGGCTACGTGAGCATGCTGCATACCTCATCCATCCTGAGGACACAGTGAGGGCTCTGTGGGAAGCACCACTCAAGCACAGGTCTCATGTCACATCAAGTGTTGCTTGCTTCTTCTCCAGGTGCACTCCACATTACGCACATGTCATGGTGCTCATCCAACTGGGCATGAACACACAGTAAGCTCAAGAGCAGATGCCACATCTCAGCCATTCACACATCTCAACAGGTAGGATACACGTAATAATTTAATGACCAATTATAAGTCAATAACTTTCTGAATGAATCTATGAAACGGTGAAGCACAGGTTTCAATGTGATCTCGTGACCACATGTGACGTAGTGTCATTAGCCAGCCTGTGTCATTTGGCAGCAAAATCCATAATGCTGTCCTTCAAGTGTTAATCCCATGAGGAATCTGAAGGTCTGAGAGATTAAGTCCATTGCTGCTTCTCAAAGTCATAGCCAGAAAGTGGCTGAGCCAGAATTCCACCTCAGACAACCTAGCACTGCAGTCTAACTATATCTCATGAAACTATTATATATATTAAAAATACAATATAAAAAAATGTTATATGACAGTGATGTTTAATATTATATGAAACTTTAAAATATAAGTTTATGCAAATGTGAAAAACTGAAGACCTACACAAACAGACCACAACAATGATCTGGCATATGGTCAGTATCTCTCAAAGCAACTGAGCATCGTGCAACATATTTTAATGGCAAAACTCAAAATAAATTTGTTTTAATGGAATGTGTAGAGTGCAGTATGGCCCCAAATGACCAGCAATATTTTTCCCTTCTGGGAAAGTATAAGTTACAGTGAAAATAACTTGAAACCATTAAGAAACTTTTCTAGAACGTGGTATAAAAGTCTATTTCATCCAAACCGTGCACTAAATGTGAGATACTGTGAACAGCAGAGCAAATCACATTTTTATAACCATTTCATCTTAAATTAAGAGCTGGCCCGTATGGTGCATTACTTTGCAGTCTAGAAGAGAATATATACATTGTTGTTAGAATAGAAAGCTATTTCCAATTCAAGCAAGACACTGAAAAGTCTAGCACAATGAACATAAATGTCAGCGCTGGCATGTTTAACAGGAAACTGAGTACCCTATCTATTCATATAATCACTACATGTCTCCTACACTGAAAGGCTCTTAAATAGTTCAGATGGAAATTATATCTGTAATATTTTCTAGAAAACATGAGAGCAAACCAAGAAACTAAAGACTGGGACTGATTGGGTCAAAATACAGGATATTGATTCAGGGCCTAGAGGAGGAGCAAGCAGGAGACCATGAGAGGAGCCTCAGAGTTGTGCAGGGGCACGGCCCCTGCTTTGGTAAGTGAAAGAAAGAATGAAAAGGATAGAATTGAAGTGATGTCAAAGGCAAAATCGTCGCAAACAGAAAATAAGCATAGTTGTATTTTTTTAATAATCCTTTTCTTTTTACTTAAGGTTGAGATCCAAATACTACTTGAGAATAATTATTAAGAGAAAGTCATGTGCACATGCTAAAAAGCTAGAAATAATTTTCCCACCAGTTGAACTATTATTCACAACAGCAGATCTCTGCAAGGCCAATTCATTTTGTGCCCATGGAAATCCTGTTTTAGATGTTACTTATCATTGCCATGGCAACCCTCATCTATGCCTTCCTATTTCAGCAGGACAGCCACTGGCCATTCCACAAATTCTACTTTGCCTGCCCACCAAATCTGCCAAAGGAAATACGCATTCCTTTCAGACTGCAGGGACAAACAAAACGGGGTTCGGGGAATGTTTTAAGGTAGCACTGGTTTCCGTATCACACCCGTAAAACTGCATTTCTCTCTGAATTACTTACGGAAAACTCTTGGGGCTTTGAAGTGTACATTTCTGAAGAAAAGTTTCCAGGGAATAGAACAATCTTCTGACTTTGGGTATGATGAATAGAAAACAGAAGCAAAGTGACATATTTATGACTAATACATCCTCCTGCTTTAAAAAGTCAACTACAGTTCTTCTGTAGGCACATGCCCTGCTGATTGTGAATAGTCATACTTTATTGTAATCACTCTGTGATTCCTGGGGTGGTATAGTGGAAGTGAGGTGTTTGAAAGTAGCTGGATAGGGAAAATGCCATGAGGACACACTGAAGCAGAATTTCAAGCAAGTCAGCAGAGCTGTGGAATGGTGGGAAGCTAGCCAGCTGAGCAAGTGAGAACAGACAGCATAGCTCTTTTGAAGCAAAGGCATCAGGCAAATATGCCATGAAGAGGCAGAGCCTTAAAGAGTGCCAGGCTCTGCAAATAGCTATTATTGCCACAAACAAAAATGCCACTGTCCCATCCATATCTTTGGAAAGGATTGCAAGTTATTCCGTTAGGGTTTTAGCCATTTTTATGCATAAAGATGACATTCATATAAAATTAAATAATATAAAAAGACATACACATGCAGCTATCTAGATATAGATGTTTAATTTATGTGTTGGAAAGTCCAGAAAGGAAAACTGTACCTGGTACATTTGATACAAATCCTGTACCTAGTGCATTTGGAATGAAGGTATTTTCAAAGTTTAGACTGATAGACCCAAATTATTATGGTCTCCATCTATCCCACCAGTGAAATCTTACATTGTTTATTTATGCTCTGTATTACTTCTCAAATTTTCTGTTGTTTAAGAATTTTAATTGCATGCTGTAATTAGTTTTATTTTGCTTCTGTGATGAACCAGCAGTAATGTAGAGGCTTTAAACAATACAAATTTATTATCATATAGTGCTGGAGATAAGAAGGCTGAAATGTATCTCACTGAGTTAAAATCATGGTTTGAGCAGAACTGTGTTCCTTACTAGAGGCTCTAGGGAAGAATGTTTCCCTTGCCTTTTTCAGCATCAAGAGACTTCCCACGTTCCATGGCTAATGGGCCCTTCAATATTCAAAGCCGAGGGTGATCATTTGAGTCTTTCTCACATTGTGAGTTCTGACATTGACACTTCCGCTTCCACGTTCCACACTGAAGGCTGCCTATATTACACTGAGCCTTCCCAAAAAAGCCAGGATAATGTCCCTATTATCAAGTCAACTTTATAACAACGTTAATTTCCTTTTGCCATGTAACCTAACATATTTACAGACTCCAGACTTAAAATGCAGACACCATTATGGGTCATGTTTCCTCCTACCAATCCAAAATCTGGCCACCAAGGTTTATATCAACTACACAGGTGAAATAAATTCACCCATACCATGTTGCCCAAAAGTCGCAACAGCACAAACTCAAAGACCAAATTTCATCAGCTCAAAAGCCCCACATCACAGCATGTACATCATCAAAATCAGGTATGAGTGAGGCTCTGGGCATGATCCACTCTGAGACACAATTTCTCTCAATCATTGAACCATAAAATATAAGAAATGTGTTACCTACTCCACCCACAATGATGGGGCAGCAAAGAACAATATCTACAGACATTCTAGCTCTAAAGCGCAGTGGCTCAAGCCTGTAATCCCAGCACTTTGGGAGGCCGAGGCGGGTGGATCATGAGAGATCGAGACCATCCTGGTCAACATGGTGAAACCCCGTCTCTACTAAAAATACAAAAAAATTAGCTGGGCACGGTGGCGCGTGCCTGTAATCCCAGCTACTCAGGAGGCTGAGGCAGGAGAATTGCCTGAACCCAGGAGGTGGAGATGGCGGTGAGCCAAGATCGTGCCATTGCACTCCAGCCTGGGTAACAAGAGCGAAACTCCGTCTCAAAAAAAAAAAAAAAAAAAAAAAAAGCAGAATAATTTTTTAAAAATAAAAAGAATAAAGAAATTCACCAGTTCCAAGCAATTTGGAAATACAGCTGACAAATTCCAGTTGGTTTCAAGGGCTTAGAATTGCACTATCGTTTGAGCTCAACCTTCTGGGCTTCAGTCCCCACTTTCTGGACTTGGGGTTCATGCCTTCTGAGTCAGCCTACTGATACAGTAGCACATGTCTGCAGCTGAGTGGTTATATCAGCATGTTTCTTGCCTGTAGGCGTTTGAAAGTTATGATACCCTTTTTCTATTTCAATCTTTATCTGTCTCCTTTAGTTCAAGATGGCAACGTTTTTGCTGATGTAACATTCTCAAGAACCATGTGTGTCTCCTGTGTATGTCCTCAGATTCACTCCATTAGCTAAAGATTTTCTTCACAGGATTTTTTTTTCTAGATAATCTCATCCTATTTTTGGCTTCTGCTGAGATGACTGACTGAAGAGCTTTATGAGTCACACTCCTAATCATTTCAAAGAACCTTTTGTGAGACTGAATTCTCTGATCTTTTGATCTTTCTAGGGGATCAGCAAAAAGTTGTCCAGCTCAGTTTATTCTCTAGGGCATACTTTTCCAATGTCAACCAAAGAGGCCTTAAATTTTAATTGACAATAAATTCCTTAAAGTCAAATATCCAAGTTCTGCTTTTTTAGTTATCCATATAGCTCCAGAATATAATTCTACTAAGCTTCCTGATTCAACATAGCAAAATTCCGCATTCTGTCAGTTTCCAAGCAGGTATCTCGTTTTTTGTTGAGCTGTCATCATCGGCACCTATAAACGTTATACTTCCACAAATAGTCTGTTTATGAAGGTTCAGGTATTCTTCATGACATGGATGTTTTCTCTACCATGTTTCTCTCTTCCTTCTGTGCCCTTACTTCCAGAGTCAGTAACATTCATATCTCTGCTAACAGTAGGTGTAAGGAAATACAGACTTTTTTCTAACATGCTTCTCAAAATTCTTCCAGCTTTTGCCAACTGCCTAATTCCGAAACTATTTCCAAGTTTTAAGGGATTTTTTCTTAATTTTTTTTACAGTAGTGCTTCATTTTAGGAAATAAAATCAGTATTAGTTTTTTATTTCCTGCTTTAACAAATTACCACAATTTAGAACCTTAAAAAACAACAAGAATTTATTATCTCAGGTTCTCATGTCATAAATCTGAATGGGTCTCACTGGACTAAAAATCAAGGCATTTGCAGGGCTGTGCTTATCTTTTTGGAAGTTCTAGGGGACAAGGTATGCCTGGCCTGTTCAGTTCTAGAAGCCATCCACATTCCTTAGCTCGCTGCCACTTCGTCCATCTTCAAAACCCACAATGGCAGCTGGAGTCTTTCTTACAACATATCACCCAACCCTGACCCTTCTGCCCTAATGGTTACACTGGCCCCTCCCAGATAATCCAAGATAATCTCCCTCTGATACAGCCAGCCGATTAACATTATTACAGTCTTCCACCTTCACATCTCTTTGCCATAGAACCTGACATATTCATAGATTCTAGCAATTAGGACACAGACATCTTGAGGGGTGGGCAGATTATCTGTCTACTACACATGACTTTTAGTTTGTAACAGACTGTGAACTCACTGTAGGAAAGCTAGGATCCTGTAGATACTATATTTCTACAGTGTTAGCATATTGGATCAATAAACAGTTATTAAATAAATGTAAGTAGCTAATATACCCTATTAGAAATAAAGGTCTTCTGCACATTCACTTTAAGAATATTAACATGAGTTATACTTAAGTAGTTGTAATGGCATACAAATTCTAGCGTGTAATAGGAAAAATGTTTTGATCAAGGCAAACATTATGGGTTGTTTATGATTCCTTGATTTAGTTTTCAAATAATTAAATAAAAATAAGCCTCAAATTGCCAATTGTTATGAAAAGAAATGTTTAAAAGAATAAATAGACTTGATAATATTTTCTTAGGAAAAATAAACAGGTCATTAGTAATTTCAAAGCATATGTCTTGAATACATAACAATGAGTTAATTGTTAGAGATTTCAGGAGATTTTATCCAGATGCACGGTAACTGAAGACATTCAGACATATGAGATGTAAAAATGGAGGTGGAGAACATGAATTACTTCTTTGTTTTGTTTTTGTCAGGTTTCTTGAGTTTTTCTCTTGTCAAATGATGTAATTTCTCTTCCGGGAAGTTTGGTGATGGACGTGGGTGCTGGTATTTGATGATGGGATTCGACACAGAGGTAATCTCAGGACTGACCCAGTCAAGGCCTCTACCGGTGCATAAACAAGTTTTTGTACATTAGTCTACAGTCCCACTTGTGGATGGAGCCCTGCTCTGGGGAGACTGAATGTGCATGGGATGAGCTCATTTCTGTCCCTCAACTACGTGTCTTTCTTGTGTACTGCTGGGATCAGCAGCCCTGGATAGAGGGATGGTGTGAGAGGTAAGCAAAAGGAATTAGCATCACAGGAAAGCGCCAAAGAGACCTGTGTGTTAGTAGCAAAATTCGTGGCAGATCTAGGAGAAATAAGTTAAAGTTTTCCCTTTGAGTATTTAACATATGAGCCACAAGTTTCAGCTAATGAGAGCATGGTACACACAGAAGTCTGTGTCAGTAATAATAGGTATTTGAGAAGAAAATGAAATGAATCATGTACTTCAGGCTCAAACGGGTTGAGAAGGCAGAATTTTATAACAGCAGCAGAGGAAGAGAAGAAAAACCATTGTTTCTTTGGACACTGCGAGTTGAAAAATGTTTCAAACAACAATGAAAAATTGAATTTTAAATTCATAAACCATAATGGTGAAATGCGGTTGATACAGTATTATCCCTTAGTTAAATTTCTTAATATAACTGTACTAAACTTACTTGCAATATGTGATGTAATTAAAGTTATAATCTCAACACTTTGTAGAAGGTGTATCAGCACCGTCCTTGTATAACTGATACACAAGCAGTAATTTAATGTTTACAGATTCCATCAACTCAGGTCACACATTTTCTCCAGCCGTCTGGTTTCTCAATCTCTAAGCAGAAAGGTTGGAGTAAATAAATTCCAAGATCTTTCTAATCTAAGGAAAATATATATCAATAATGCAAATATATCTAGGACCCCATGTGGTCCAATCTCAGATGTACCCTATTTAAAACAGAGTCCCTGATTGGCCAATAAATAAACATAAACACAACTAAGTACTTGTGTCTACCTCTCCAGGAAACAAGATGAGGGAGACACTTTTTATTTTTTTCTTTATTTTATTTTGTTTTGAGATAGAGTCTCACTCTGTTGCCCAGGCTGGAGTCCAGTGGTATGATTTCAGCTCACTGCAACTTCTCCATCCCGGGTTCAAGCGATTCTCCTGCCTCAGACTCCTGAGTAGGTGGGACTACAGGTACACACCATTATGCCCGGCTAATCTTCTGTACTTTTAGTAGAGATGGGGTTTCATCATGTTAGCCACAATGATCTCAATCTCCTGACCTTGTCACCCACCCGCCTCAGCCTCTCAAAGTGCTGGGATTATGGGCATGAGCCACCACACAGGCCGGAAGACAATCTTTCTGTATGGGAAACTTCTTAAAAATCTTCCTTTTCCTTTGCCACTGCTTTCAATATTCTCTGCACAGATGGGAGCTAATCCTGGAAATTTTCTCTCCCACTCTCAGCTTTTCTCCTGAACACCCACCTAGACCAAACAAGATTTCTGTCTCTCTCTTCATTCCTCATCCCTCCTCCTGAGCCCACTATTATACAGATAAAATCAGCCAAGTTATGAGCTGACTGGAAAAGTGAGAGATGAAAGAAATCACCTTCACATGAATATCTTGTTTATTCAAACATATCAGTACACTGATCATTTTTCTTTCTTTCTTTTTTTTTGACAGTGTCTCGCTCTGTTGCCCAAGCTGGAGTGCAGTGGCATGATCTCAGCTCAACCTCTACCTCCCAGGTTCAAGCAATTCTAATTTTTTGTTGTTGTTGTTGTTAGAGACAGGATTTCACCACGTTGGCCAGGCTGGTCTCAAACTCCAGACCTCAAGTGATCCACCCGCCTCAGCCTCCCAAAGAGCTGGGATTACAGGCATAAGCCACTGCACCTGGCCACACATTGGTAATTTTCTTAGTACTCTGATTCTCTGTGATTCTTAAGTTTTTAAATTCATTTCTTGAAAACTGTGCCTGAAGAATAAATGTAATTTTACTTTTAACCTTTTCCATTTAAGAGCCTCTTCTAGGGCTGAAGTGAGAATATTTTGAGTCAGCGGTGTAAGTGCAATTTTAGCTTGGTGCAAAAGTAATTGTAGTTTTGCCATTAAAGGTAAAGGTAATGGCAAAATCACAAGGACTTTTGCATGAAGTCATAATTAAAAAGACAACACATACTGACCTAAGTTTGCTCAATATTTTATTTTTTTGTGAAAAAAGAACACAATCAAAGTTCTTCTTTTAGCCAGATATGGTGGCTCATGCCTGTAATTCTAGTAGTTGGAAAGCTGAGGTGGACGGATCACTTGAGGTCAGGAGTTCAAGACTAGCCTGGCCAACGTGGCAAAATCCCATCCCTACTAAAAATACAAAAATTAGCCAGGCGTGGAGGTGCACACCTCTAATTTCAGCTACTCAGGAGGCTGAGGCACAAGAATCACTTAAACCCGAGAGGCAGAAATAGCACCATTGCACACCACCCCAAGCGACACAGTTAAGACTCTGTCTCAAAAAAAAAAAGTCCTTCTTTTAATCTTAGCCTTTAAAATTTATATTATTTCATATTTCAGTGCAAAATTCAAATGAAACTTTAGTTTTTTTTTTTTAAAAAAAAAAACTATTTTGTTTTCTTTCTCACCAGAGCACCTACCAGAACTCTGATTATCTATGAAACGTTAGAAACTTTCAAAATGGTTAACACATACACATTCACATTTCTGATCCAAAGAGGTAAAACACTGCACCGAATATTTGAAATAACACTAAATCCATGATGATATTTTATTGTAATAATATATTCATTTAATATGCATAGAAATCCTTTTAAAACACTCCATTTAAATCACAGCACTGCGGTATATTCTTCCCTTCGCCTTTGAAGTCCGTCAAGCACGCAGCTTGAGAGGTGGCTAGGAGTTGGGCAGAGAGTTCCTAAAACACTTTGAGCTCCCCAGATGAAAGGTACTATCTAAGTACAAAGTGTCATAATACTTTCAATATATTTAATGACTCCACTCGCTTCAATGTCAATGTCTAACTCAACCCTCACCTATTTGGTACTTTGAGGTATATTTCTTAAGTTCATTTTCTCCAGTGGGATGTGGGTAACTTTGTTCCTTAAAACTAGTACAGGAAAACTATCATCAGAAAAGGAAAATTTCATAAACATCCGTTCTATGTCTGTAAATTACAGAAAATCTCCCCACTAGGAAGCAAACTATAAGACCAACAAAAGACAGCTGTCATTAAAGAGACCTTCTCCAGGAGCATCTGAATGGCAGTGGGGTCATACCAGTAGAATGAGGAATACAGTAGACACTGTTACATTTTCTTTCTTATATTTTCAAGTGGAAAGAAAATTTATGCAAGAAGGCAGTTGGCTGCAGGGAAGTGTTATATTCTGCTCAAAAGGCATTCTTAGTTTGAGTAAAAAAGTCTGTGAAATATGGAAAATGGTATTCCCTCTTGTAAAAATTTATTAAAAATTATGAAGTATAGTCTTTTCTATTTTTTTGATCTTATATAATTTATCTGTAAAAGTAATGCCAAAATATCTTATTATTTTCAAAAACTAAAGCATTATCAATAATGTTGAATCAATTTTTACTCGATCTTGGCCCGTAAAATCCTCCTCGCTCCCCTCTTCCTGCTATCCCTTACCTGAGGTCACTATTACCATTTCAAATTCCTTGTATCACAACATATTTTCTAGTCATCTGATTTTCTTTACCAAATGTGATTTAAAACTTGTCTTTAGACAAGTTTCTAAGTGAGAAAACAATATAATTCTAATAAAATAAACACTTTTGATATATCTTCTGTTTTTTATTAAATTTTCTGAGTTATCAAATATTCTGTGGTATAACTTTTAACATTGTCAGTAATTCTGCACCTATTTCTCTTTCTGAACTGCAATGGCATATTGCAGAGGACAGTTCACTACACAGAAAGAACAGAGCTGTTCAGGGCATTGTCCATGAGGTGCTCGCAAGGCTCTGCACCTGCTAGCCCTTCTTTAAGCCGCACTTTTGTCCTTTGCAGACTCCAGGATTTGAACCAGCTGATTTCTCCTTGACTATTGCTCAATCTCACAATCCTCCTTATGCATGCTAGTCTATAATCCTAGGTGATTCATCACTGCACTGTGGACCTGGGTAATGACACAGTCTCTAAAAATAACCGTCAGCAAACCAAAAAGTGAAGATTCATAAAAATGTGCCAGGAGAAAAAGAAGGGCCTCCTTTAAACCCGTTTCTGTGGTATCCTCTCTTGCTCTGCCTCCCTATCTTCCAAATCCCTGCAAGACCTCCAGTTGGTCTCTTCCCATGTACCAATGGGAATTCAGAAGCACGGCTATTGGGAACAGCAAGAGCTTCAGATTGAAAGGGTATTATTTTAAGTTCAGAAAGTTAGAGACTCAGATACAAGGAAATAGAAAAAATGTTGGAGATAAAAATCTATACAAATTAGTTTGCAGGCAAGATGGAACCGGGAGACTGGACACTGGAATCCATGGCAGTGTGAGGGCTACAGCACCATTGGAAGAAACAATCTGTGTTAGGAAGATTAAGCATCAAAACTTTGGCTAAATATTTGTGAAATATGCATATTATGCATCTAATCTTCAACATCTGGATTCCATACTCACTATGCAATGTTCTGATCATAATCTGCCCATCCATGTATGTTTGCTTGCAGAAAGAAACGGGTTGTGTAATTCTAAGAATTCTTATAGAAAATGTATATGTGTATTTATTATGTGTATGTATGTATAAATATTACATATATATGTACAGTCATTACTGGTAGCTTGGCAAATGTGATTCATTTCTAAGAGATAGATAAATGTTCAATCTGCTGACATAAAGTTTCTGAGACTGTAAGTTTCTGAGACTGTGAGAGACTACATCTAGATTCCAGATTGTGATAAATTCATTAAAATAATAGAGACCACCTGGCCTTTCTGCTGCTATTTCTGCCTTGATATATTCTATGAATGCCATTAGAAGTAACTATAAGCCCCACTTGGAAGTCTAGGCCCATCTAAACTAACTAAATCTTGTAAACTAAAAAAAAATAATAGCAAGGTATAAGTATGAATTTTGTGCATGCACCTAAAAATTTCAGGGAATTGTTTTTAAGTCTGAGACACTTGTTTTCCCGATAACCTGTATCAAGCATGCTTTGTCTTTAAAGAGCACATGATCAAACGAAAAAAAGCAACAGCTATTGATGGTTGAGATCCGACAGGCACTCAGAAGATTCATAAATATGCATTGGTTAATTGTCTTTCAAACAACCCTGTGGCATGCTCAATATTAGTTTTATTTTATAACTAAAAGTATTGAGGGATAAAACACAAATGACCATGTTCCAAAGTTTACATCACACAAAGAAAAACAAAGCCAGATATGGGAGTCAGATCTGGTTTCAAAGGCAGTGCTCCTTGCAGCTGTCCAGGAGACCATCATCTCTCTATCTAAGGTGACTTGTAGGCAGAATTTCATCTCCAATGTGAGTCCACTGGGGAGCCCTGGCAATTCTCACAATGCTTTATAACATAAATCATTAAACTGACTTGAGAAATTCTTCCTCCTTCAATTTCCCCAGGTCATGAGTTGAAGCACACTACTAAATAAAAATTAAGCCAAAATGACAGCTAAAGCGTGCCTGGCCTCAGATTCCCTCAGTGCTGTCTAAATTATTATTAATCCCTTCCCACTTCTTATTTCAATACGTACTGGCTTCCTTAATACTGCCTCTTTCTAAAGAATTGTAGACAGTTATGTCACTCGGATTTATGTCATCTCAAATGGCCTTGGGCCACACAATGTCAACTTTTGCTGTCATGTAAGTTTTCCAAGTCTCCTTTTTATGGTACCATTTTCCCCTCTTACGCCAAATGTAGGTTTCCTCAGAAGTTTTGCTTTATTTGATCTGAGTGAAAACAGAAACCTCAGCCCATCCTTAACCTGTCCTACTTTATGGAAAAATCTCCTAGAGTTCCATTCAGATTCAGTCGTTCACAGCAATAAAATCTCCTTCTATAAATGTAGTATGGTGGCTCTAAAGATACAAAAAACAAAGAAAAAAAAACCCAGGGAGCAAAAAGGCTTTTTAAAACCTAGAAGAACAGATTGAGTGCTACCATTTAGTCATCTCAAATAGAGCCAGAAACATGGATAGCGTTGCTTATGTTGATAAAGCATGACAGTTGACACTATATTCATTGTAAAACCACAACTTTGAATCCAAGATGTTATTTTCATGACCACCAAACTCAGAATGAAAATATAGCTTATGAAACCTAGACCATGCCATACATCACGGCCTCTGTATAGGTTATATTCACAGTTATCTCTTAAGAAAACTATACATACCTTTCCACTTACAACTCTAGCACTAATCATCTGGCAGATAAAGTAAGCTAACATTTGTACCTTTTGGGACTGCTTCAAATTAGTTCAACTGTAGCATATAAAATACCCATGATTTATCAGCAAAGCATAATTAAAACCACAGTCCTTTAGTGACATTATTAAAAACGTTGCTAGTGCTCAAAGCTAATATGTACGCCACAGTTAATACTTGATTTAACATACACCGTGTCATAATGAAAGTCATCATTAACCTTATATTAATAATGTTCTAAATTTTAGTTTTTAACGGAGCATCAAAGCCCTGTGTAGATGTTACTTCTTTAACATAGAAGAGCAACTTCAAGAAAGTTTAAATATATTTCAAATCCTTCTATTGCCTATTATAACTTAAATAAAACAATACATACGAACTGAAAAAAATCTAACTATATGAAAATGGGCTTTACATAATTTGAATCATTTTTCCATTTAAATTAATGCATGTGATGCTCTTGCAGTGAAAACAATGTGATAACCAATTTTATGATAATGAATGATAGCTCTTACTCAAGGGAGCCGGTCAACATCACAGACCCTTTTTAATGCTAGCAAGTTAAAAGGAGAATTGAGATAGATTGCATAAACCGATTATCACACACAATATCTGCAAGCACTTGCAAATGAGTATTTGGCTGCTACAGGTCTCAGTTTTCCTTTCATCAAAATTCTTAAGAATTTGCATTTCTGAAAACAGACTAGACTACGTGGTAGTAGGATCTATTTGATTGAAACATGACGATTTTCAGAACAAATGAACTTCGAATTCAAGTTCCCCAAAGATAATTTTGGCAGATACATTTTATAATATTACAATTGCCTTTTCAAGTTTATTGAGTCCCTATGAATAATTGGTTTCCTTATTACAGACGGTCTTTCCAGTTACACATTCCAGCATAACAGAAGTCCACTTGATGGTGTTGCTCATGCCCATTAGAGCCCTGACTCACTACTCTTCACCTCTAGTATAGGCTGTTTTAAGGAGGACATCTTTTCCTTTCAGAATTTATGTAGTGAAAATAAAAAGTAGGTTTGGTTTTAAATAGAACTTGAAAATTCTCTGAAAAATTATCACGTTGTCTTACAAATGACTTTGTACTATGAAGATAGAAAATGAGGAAAAGAAAGAAACAGATTGTTTAAGAAAAGTCCTTACTTACCAGGTGTGAAATTGTATCGAGCTGAAAATCCCATCGATTCCAGCTCTCCATCAGCAAAAAATTTAATCCATAGAAATCTTCCACTGGATTTTATTACAGGTGGATTTTGTTGTCCACAGAAACGTCCAATTATTGGAGAAAAGCCAAAAGGTCCATCTCGAACTTCAATATGATCAAATTTGCACTCCCAAGAGGGTTCAATAGAGTACTTTTCATCAAAGTAAAGTTCAATGCACTGTCTTGGAGCAGCTGTAAAGAAGAAAGATTGTGTCGGGGAGGCCATTTCTTAAATTGTCAGGTTAATGTTTTCTGATTCTATTTCAGACATTATCTGTTCATTTTCTCTCAAACTTTATGGATGATATGCATGGAAATACAAAAAAAAAGCATTGATACTATTCTACAGGATACAATTTTCATTAAAATGTTTAAGGAGTGAACCTTAAAAACGATGATGTTCCACAAAACCTTATTCTGACACGAGATGACCATTTTGATGTTTTGCGCAGGACTAACAAAGCACAGGACTCTTATGAAAGGCTGTTAACTTGGGGTTAGAAGACCGAGGGACATTTTTCTGTCTCTTTTCTCCTATTTCCAGGAGTACACAGGTTTGCAGTCACAAATCACTTGAGAATTGTTTGGCATAGAGTCATATTAAATACATGCATTCAAGTAGTCCCAGTCACGTGCCTAGATTAGATTCAAGTGCATGTACAAGGACATTGCGTAATTTTTCTAGACCACAAACCTGATCACATCACTCTGAGGTTTAAACCTCAGCAGCTGGCCCATGATCAATGCATTCAACACACATGGTGACCCATTAAGAATATCCTGCTTCCAAGGCCCTATGCCCGCACAGACATACCAAGCTCAGACCACTTCAAACATGTCTTGTATTCTAAGAAAGTACGCTGCTTCAGACTTTCGTGGGTTTTCTTACTTTCTGGAATATCTACATATGCACGGTTTCCTCCTCTTTACACAGGAAAGACTTGCTTTAAAGAAGCCTCCTTTCTAAATCTGTCTTGAAAACCCAGAACCATATCTCACTCACCTGCTTTCTCAGCACTAAGCATAGTACTTGTCTTTGAAAAGTTCCATATAAAAAGTCTTTTTGAGTGAATTATAAATGAGCTTATCTTCATAAATGTTTTTACAGCTCTCTAAAGAATCAGGGAAAGCTTTATAGGGCTGGCAACTCTATAGAGCACCACATGAATGCATTTGCTAATGTTCTTTCATTCTTCCCTTGATATGTCCAAAACAGTTCAAAATTCTGGCATCTCATACTTAGATTCAGCCAGGATACTCCAGAATGGCCATAAAGTTAGTTGAAATATCAGCATATCTGCATCCTGAAGCCCTCTGAGCCCTTCCCTGCTACTTGGCCCTTTTCCGGCACTAACCCCTCTAGACACTTGAAGGTTCAGGCTTTTTACATGGTCTGCTCTTTAAATGGTCAGCAACCATGCTGAACGATGGCTGTCTGCATCCCACTGCTTCTTAAATATACACTGAACATCATCCATGATGACCTAAAAAGTAAACTCTTGGATGCAACGGTTTTCAAAAATTTCTGTAATATTGAGATATGTGGTAATTTGGAAATTGAAGATTTACAGAACAAAATGTAAGTCTGATGATCTCCAGGTATAAAATTAAAGATCAACAGATTAAAGGTCAATCCGTTTTTAAAATGAATTGTTTTATGGATAATTTTTAATTTCTGAAAAACGTTTCTGACTCATACATTGAAAACTGACATTTATAGCTCATGCAAGAAAAATGCATTATCCATCACTAACATATATCAAAAAGGTCAACAAATATAGTAACCACAATAATGACACATTTGAGAGACTTTCAATTACTTTATTTTTTAATTTGAAAGTGCCCAAAGAAATAACTTATGTTTTATGCTTAAAGTATTAGCCTTATAACAAAAAGGCAAATTCTGAAGTACTTGAATCCATTTACATATTAGTACTAAATATATCACTTGCATACATTATCATCCTATAGCATGTATCTACCTGTTTACTTAACAATCGCCATTATGACAAGTTTTATGAGGAAATAAATTATTTCAGATTATAGGATAACTATTTTAGATGTGAATAATGTATAGCTAGGGAATGACAGAGCAATGAGGACAGTCCTTAGCTACTTGACTTAGAATTCTGTCATCTGTGAACATGCGCTCACCAATTTCCCCTACTAAGAATAATGGCCGTCTAACATGAATTCACTTATCCAACCTTCACTCTTATTGTTACGTAAGTTCTGTGGATGAGTTAACCTCTCAGTGTTCCTCAGAAAACATTTTTTGAGACGGAATCTCTCTCTGTCACCGGACTGGAGTGCAGTGGCACATTCTCAGCTCACCGCAACCTCAGCCTCCCAGGTTCAAGTGATTCTCCTGCCTCAGCCTCCTGAGTAGCTGAAACTAAAGGCACACGCCACCACCCCCAGCTAATTTTTGTATTTTTTAGTAGAGATGGGGTTTCACCATGTTGGCCAAGATGGTCTCGATCTCTTGATCTTGTGATCCACCCGCCTTGGCCTCCCAAAGTGCTGGGATTACAGGCGTGAGTCACTGCATCCGGCTGTGAAATAACTTTTTAAAACTAAGTTTTCCACATAATTCTTGTGGTCAATTAAAAAATGAATGACTATGGCACACAGAAACCATTTGAAGCTATTTAGGTCTAACTCTCTCGATTTCAATTTGCTTCACCTTCAAGAACTTTCTTCACAGCTGCATTTCCTTTTAATATTTCTGTCATTTACATTTGATCTAACACAGATTAGTTCATGAGAGGTCTCAACCACTTTGAGAATCTTCAGATGCACTGCAAACTATGGGCACTTGAACCTGGATTGTACACATATGTAGAGAATATTTCTTCCATTCTGAGTGAATTCTTAGATCACCTGCCATTCATAAAGGGATCCTCTATTGTGACCAAGACCTCACCTGCATTCTTCATCTCCGTCATACCTCTGGAAATCTGACCAATTATGTATCCCTCTTTCTCTTCCATTTTCAATTTATCGTTCTCTACAGAATATTCATTTTAGAATTAAATATGTGCAATCTGCCCATTTAAAAGGGGAACAAAACACCCACCTCTGCTATGCCAATGGAAGTGCTCATTAGTTACTAACAAACTTTTAATTGCTCCATGTAACAGATGAATTTCTGTTTTTACTTATTTTTATTGCTGCAACTGGCACTTTGACTACTCTCTGCTTCTCAAGCCCTCATGCACTCTGGGTGCCGTGGCATCCCACACCTGACTCTCCTGCCTCATTCCCTAGCTTCTCCTACTCAGTCCATTACCTTTTCCCCATACTCTGTCCATCTCTTAAACGTTATTTTCCAGAAATCTATTCTACATCTTATTTTCTCTCATTTTAGACCGGGACACCAGGTTGCCACAGGCATTCCAATGGAACGATACTACAATATAATGATGCCTGGGGCCTGTTTAAGGCCAATTAAATCAGAATTCCTGGGGAAAGGGCCAGGCATCTGCGTTTTTTTTAAAGAGTTGAAAAATAGTGCTCCAAATACTCTCTTCGAATAGTTTTACTCATAGGAACAGCCTCAAAACCAATCTCTATGACCTATACATATACATTTTCAGATCACATCCATCTCTCCTCTCAGCTAGAGCTACATATATCTAATCTTTATATGGAACTAAATTACTTCAGTGGCACCTCATTGTCTATAGCATAATGTCTAAGATTTCATCCAGCAGGCACAGAAGGAATACCAGCTACCCCTGTGTCTGAGACTGCCTCCCTCTTCAGCCTCCCGCTGTCTTTTCCTCAGATTCTGCAGAAGCCATAGGATACTCCATGCAGGTCTTCAACCACAGCATATCTCTGAACTTTCTCACATGCTACTTTATGCAGAGAATGATGTCTTCCTGGACGTTCTTCAAAAGTGAAGGTGAGCATCTCTTCTTCCCTGTATTCTTCTCTTTGGCTTCTCTGTTCCAACTACTTTGTGCTAATCCTGGGGCCCTTTAGATTGTTTAAGGAAATGGGCATAGTCCCCAGAGCATACGGGCAAGTCCTGTGAGGAGAGTAGCAAGTTCCTTTTCTATCAGTCATACAAGGAATTTGCACTTCCAGACCTTAGGTTTCTGAGTTATCCTTTTAATAGCATAGCTTATTTATTGTTTTACCTTCTTACAGTGTGATTTATCTTTGCTGAAAGTCCAACTTCAAGTACAAAGCGGGTGGGGGAAGATCTATGGCCCAATAATTACCAAAAAGTAATCATTTCCAAATAGAAATTCTTAAAATTAGGTAAAAAGAAAGCTTGCTTCTTCTTTGAAAATCTATCAAATAAAAGTGTCCCTGATTTGTATGTAGTAGAAAATGAATATATCTTTTTCATTAAGATAGTTTTGCCTGTGCATATATGTGTGTTTGGCGGGGGGGTAGGTGCTTCCAAGTTTTAGCCCATTAGGTATTAACAGTTAAAATACTGAAAATTCCCACCACCAGATGATATGCTTCCACATTTTAAAATTTGTACTTAAGGGAGAGGTGTTGGCCTGGCGCCATGGTTCACGTCTGTAATCGCAGCACTTTCGGAGGCCAAGACGGGTGGATCACTTGAGGTCAGGAGTTCCAGACCAGCCTGGCTAACACTGCAAAACCCCATCTCTATCAAAAATACAAAAATTAGCTGGGCGTGGTGGTGTGCACCTGCAATCTCAGCTACTTGGGAGGTTGAGGCAGAAGAATTGCTGGAACTCAGGAGGCAGAGGTTGCAGTGAGCCGAAATCATGCCACTGCCCTCCAGCCCAGGTGACAGAAAGTGACTCTGTCTCAAAAAAATAAAATAAAAGAGAGAGGTGTTTACAAGGTCAGTGTAAATGGGAAATGTTCAAAGAGACGTCTCTTTTCAACGCCATTTATCTTTCATGTTGGAAAAGAAGTCATGAAAGAAATTGTCATAATTTACAACCCTGACCTTGACTTTAAAATGAGATGTCACTTTTTAACACAAATAAGGTAACTCTCTTTCAGACTGCTATTTAGAAAATGTAATTATAGATTCCTCTTTGACATTAATATGATTTTTGCACTTTATAATATTAAAGAGAAAGTGACATACAGGTTATTCTAATAATTGTTGAACTAAACATTTTACTGGTTTCTCAAACTGTAATACTGTGCCAGCCGTGCATCCATTCTACTGCATTAGAACTCTACATCAATTAAATCAACCGCAAAATAAACTCTTCAGTTGTTCATTTGTTTTTATTTCACAGACTTTGCTTGTTCATAACTCATTACTAAGATTTCAATAATTAGCCTGATTCCAAATTTTACAGTTATTTGCCTCACTCAGAGATATTTTTACGCATGATCTCCAAATCAATTTTGTAATGTCTATATGCATATTCTTCATCCAAAGTATAGAGATGGCCAGGTTTTGGCTTAGTGTTCTCTTAACTCTGGCACGCTCTCCACTTACCTTCTATGATGTAGATGCATTCCCGGTCAGGGGGGTACTTGCTGGGATAGTTGGGAGAGGTAAAGATACCTCCCTCTGCATGCTTTGTCCAGGTTCCACACTGCATTGACTTCTGTGTTTCTGAGGTGGTTTGCTTTTCTGTTAAATACAAGAAAAATATTTTAAAAAGAACCGTCATCCAATTTTCTATAATACTAAAAATAGAGAGGACATTCTTATAATATCCATTAGTAGATTAATTTTTAAATGTTGTTTTAGCCAAACCAATCAATTATACACATTATAACAGGTTCAGATATTCTAGAATATTAAATGTAGGAGGAAAATAGGAAAACACAAAATAATTTGAGGTCTTCCAATAGCATTTTTCTAAGTAGACACACCTGTTCCTTTCTTGGTTGCCCCAGACAAATGGAGGATGATTAAACTTGCTACAACTGAAACAGAAAAGAAAAATTAGAGATAAAACACACAGCAATGCTCAAATTCCATAAAAACGTAACACAATTTCAAGATGAAATACTATCAAAGCAGATTAATTGTATCATTGTTAACTGTTAGAAGTTGATTCAGAACTCGCATAAACTGATTTGAAATGTACAAATCAGGAAACCTTGGGACTCCCTTAAAAAGTAACACAAGTTAAGAAGGGATGAGACCCAAATTCCTAAGACAAAAACATCCCTTACTCTAAAAGCAACATGACAATTTACTCTTGTCACACACATTACAGTGGGACTTCAGGAGTCCCACTGTATCCAAACTACCCTTAGGGAATGGCTCTGCTAGCATCTCTGAAGGAAGAGAGGGGCCAGAAGGCAAAAAGGAGGAAAAGGAGAGGCAAGCGATGAGAAAGGCTCCATGACTGTTCCTGACACACTGCAGTGTGGCTGTATTTTAGAAAATAAATACTTAGACAAATCCTACAGGCTGTGGGGGAGGGGAGCAAGCAAGAAGCAGATTAAGGGGGATTGTGGGCATTAAGCAGCATTATTAGACTGTTGCCTACAAAAATGTTTTGAACCTCCAAGTAACCCCGTCCTCAGTCCTCAGCACTTTCTAAGCTGGGAAATTAATCTCTCCTAACCTTAACTTTAATTTAATACCAAATCAATCTATAGAGATAGACTATTAATTTGAGATAGGTGATTTCCAAAAGCACTATTTCGAGGCAGGTTTCCAGTGTCAGAGACTCTGATCTGTAACTTAACGGTAAAGCTGCAGTGCCATTATAATCCAAACTTGTTTTACTTCCATATTCTTGACCTAATCAACATTTTTACAAGATGAAGAGCTAGCAAAATATTAAGTATTCTAGTCTTCATAATTTGATTTTTCTTCTATTTTATTTTTCTTATTTATTTTGTTGTCCAATGACATAAAAGGTCTGCTTTCATACTATCACTTAAAATGAAATGGAGGGGAGAGCATAATTCACAAATATGTCCTCAATTAAAGCTCACCATAGAGGCTTATACATCTATACTTAAACATTATTCTAAGAAAGGTATCTAAGTGTTAATATCAATATTTTAGAAATTATCAACTGTGTATCACTTTATGCTCTAGCCAGGTCATTTGCATTTTAGATTAAGACACTGGCTGCTGTGGTTACTGTGTTTCCACGGGGGAAAAAAATCAATTTAATTTTCATGATTCTGCTCACACCGAGAACACACAGGTACACATCCTTCAGCATCAGGATGTGTATTTGTTTACTCCGCTCTTCCTGTTTTGCTGAAATCGCATTATGGACCATGTACTGTGTTTAATTCATCAGCAAAGCCCTCTCTTAACTGCGTGGCCCGCGATCCACTCTCTCATCTTTGCTTAGTAATGTCAGATTTCCACCACACATTTTCCTATGCTGCCTTTTACTCGATGACTCGTCATACTATTTTCCTCTTATTCCTTCCCATCTCGACACTGCCCGCGTTACCACACACCCAGAAAGCGACGCTAGCGGTCTCCTAGGCAGAAAGTGGTGGACGCTGACCCTCGCCCTTCCCTCTGCGCTGGCTTCAGGTGCGTCTCCCGCTACCTCCGGGACCAGGGGTCCCCCAGCTCCGGGAGCCCCAGGAAGAGGAAGATTCCTCTACCCTCACTAGGTATCCCCGCTCCCACCCGCTTTCCACCTGCGCCCTCGCCAGGGCCAGTCTCTGCTGCACGCACGTGTCCATCCCCGAATTGCGCGCTATTCTCAGCCCCCGGGGGGTTCCTGCGCACGGAGAACCCGTTCACCCCGGCAGGTTCTTGGACCCGGCGACGGCTGACCGCGCGCCGCCCCCAAGCCAGGGTCCACGATGCTGCAATACAGAAAGTTTACGTCGGCCCCGACCCGCGCGGGACTGCGGGGTCCGCCGGAGCGCGGCGCAGAGGCTTCTCCTGCGCGTTTGGCCGCGGGAAAGGGGCGGGCAGGAGGGCTGGCTCCGGAGCGCACGGGCGCGGCGGTCAGGGTACTCACTGTGAAGCACGCTGCGCCCATGGATCATGTCTGTGCGTTACACCAGAGGCTCCGGGCTCCACTAATTCCATTTAGAGACAGGAAGACTTCCAGTGGCGGGGGGAGGACGGGTCGAGAGGTGTTAAAGACGCCAAGCGAGAGCGAAATACAAGGGGGCCGAGGGGGAGACCGAGAGGAAGGGGGAGCTCCGAGCCCACGCTGCAGCCAGATCCGGATGAGTCCGTCCTCCGCCCCGGGCGGGCTCTCGCTCTCGCCGGCCCTCAATGCCGCGCAGCCAGCAGCATCCCCACCGTGACGCTCGCATCACACCCGGGCGCCGGCCGCCACCATCCGTGCCGCCGCCGCCAGGACCCTCCTCCCGGGCATCGTCGCCACCGCGGGGTCGGGAGGACGCGGCGCGCGGGAGGCGGCGGGCGCGGGGCGAGCCCCGGGACGCCCCAAGCCGGGGCCGGGGCCGGGCAGCGGGCGCAGCGAGTAGGGGGGCCAGTCCAGACCGACGGCAGCGACGGAGCGGGCGGCGGCGGGGAGGGCTCAGTCCCCAGTCTCAGACGCGCCGCGCAGCAGGTCGGAGCAGCCTCCCCGGGAGGACGTCCAGCGGCAGCGCTCCTCGCTCCAGCCCTTGGGGATCTTCCGCTGAGGCATTGAAGGCAGGAGGAAGGGGTCCGTCATCGGCTCGCCGGGCTGCGCGCCACCTCTGCGATCTTGCGGAAAGAGGAGCGGGCGGGTGGGCGTCTGGGAGGCGGGCTGGAGGGCGGCGCAGGGGAGTCGGGGTGGCCGGGCGGGGAGGGGGAGGTTGGGCGGGGAAGGGAGGGAGGAGGAAGGAGCCGGTAGAGAGCAGAGTTACCAAGTGGGTGCCTTAGTCAAGACTTGGGGGTCCGAGACCCTCCCCCAAGCCCAGAGCCCGGGTCGGATCGGAAGGCTGCGCGCGGCCGGCGCCCCGGGGCTGGTGCGCGGCGGAATGGGGCCGCGGTGGCGGCGGCAAGGACATCCCCGCCGCGCGGACCTGGGGGATGGGCGGGAAGGGGGTGAGGACCCGGCTGGGACCGGCGGCTCGGCTCGCCGGGGCGCGGGAGGAGGATGCAGCCGCAAATCCCGAGGCGGATCCCCGAGCCGGACGAAAGGCATGGAAGCGGGAGGGGCCATCGTGTGAAAATCCCTTGTGGGATTTGGTGTTTCACTTTTTAAAGGTTATACCTTGCGGGCTCTCTTACTTCCACCCCTCGTTTTCCATCGGCTTAAAGGAACCGGGCGCCCCCTCGCCCTGTCTCCCCGGGGCGAATGCTTCCCCGCAGAATCCGCGCTCAGCGTGGGAGAAAAGGCAGGGGCGCGCCCCAGGAAAAGGCGGCGGTAAAAGTTTCGCTGCGGAGCACTGGGCCCAGTGCCAAGTTCCCCCCACCAAATTGCTCCCGCAAAGGCTCGGGCTTCTTGCAATGGACCCCCCCGCCCACCTCGAGTTGTAATTGACTCCCGACCTCGAGATGTTTAAAACCACCCCACGGCACACATGGTCACCCCGTCACCCCAGGCCACTTCCTCTGCAGGGCCACGCGGCGCATTAAAGTCTGGGAGACACGAGTCGCGGGCAAACAGCACCGGAAGAGCCCAGGCTTGTAACATGCTAATCAATAAATACCAAATAACGGCCACCGCGAGGCAGCGCAGCGAAGGGCTGGAGCGCGGAGGTGCGGGGGAGTCCCTCCCTGGGACCCGCAATGGCACCTCCTCCCCTTCCCGGCTCCGTCCCGCCCTCCCTCCGTGGCATCTGCGGACGCGGCCCGCGCAGACCACAGCCCAGCCCGCGGGACCCGAGACTACGGAGGCCTCCAGCCCTGCCACCTGCACCCGCGCCGCAGCTGGGGCTCTGGTTAGGCAGTGTGGCGGCGAAGAAGCCGGAGTAGGAAGATCTAATGGCGGATTGTGGGGGGTGGTCAGCAGCAGATGCTGAGCTGTGAAGACTGAAGTGGCCCCAAAAGGCCGTGGAAAGGAGAAAGGGCAATGAGAGGAGTCCGGGGAGCGCTCGAGGCTGGGGCCCTGCCTCCCAGCTCTGGCCCGGCCTCTGCTTTCCGGCACCTGCTGCTGCGGCGCCCACGTGCGCGCAGGGCTGCGCGGGGCGTGGAATGCTCACCGCGGTCCTGCCCACGCCTAGCGCAGCGCCTGGGAGCGGGTGGAGTTCTGTCAGTAAGTTGGGGTGAGGGACGATGAGGCGACCTCGCGAAGTCTGGCAGGGATTCAGAGACTCAGACGCAGCCCCCAAGGCTCCTACTACCACATCAGGCTTCTGGTTCCTCGATTTCCAGGGTGGGGTAAAGTGACCAAGCAGAGGGGAATGTGTGCTCTTGTGTGCGTGCGCGCGCGCAAATACGAGCGCGCGTTTTGTGCATCCATTTAATGAAAGGTGGGTAATGGGGCAGGCAGGGAGTGAAGCGAGATGGAGAGCTAAAGAGAAAGAGGTGAGAGAAGGGGGAAGATAGGGACCGGGTAAGAGAGAGAGAAAGGGGAAGCGGGGTAAGAGAGAGAAGGGAGAGATGAAGAATGGAAAGAGATGGGAGAGCATGGAAAGAAAGAAGGGAGCGATGAAGAATGGAGAGAGGAAAGGGAAAAGAGGAGGGGAGAGAGAAAAGAGAGACAGGAGAGATAGAGGGGACTGAAGAGAGTGGGAGGGAAGACGGAGAGCGAAGGAAGGGCAGAAGAGACTGGGAGAGGGTAGGGGGCTTCAAAGCTGCACGGATCTGCAGGGGCCTAGTCCAGCAGAGCTGACGGCAAATGAGAGGAGCTGCAAGCTTGAGCAAAGGGAGAGAGGTGAGAGGATGGAGGGAGACCGGTGAGTATCCGCCCACGCACGCACCTACTTATAAAAGGATCTAGGGGAAACACGCAGAAGATCCCGCGGGAGTCCTGTGACCCACGTGAGGTACTCGTGCCAGCGCGTGGTGGGAGGTGGTGGGCAGTGGTGGGCGTGGAGTTGTGGAAGAAATTCTCCAGCCTTAAGGAAGCAAAAGAGTTCAAAGACCAGTAAGGTCACTTAACAGAGGAATACGCAGATGACAGAGAATGTCTGGAAAACGCTTTTTGGGATCCCGGTCATCTATGAAGGAGAGAGTAGAGATCTTCAAAAAGGACCAGTCAGAAGAGTTGACCGTTGAATACTGGAATCTTTCGTACGGTTGGATGGCAATTTCTTCACATCCAAAATATGAGTTATTCGTGAAAATGATGAAGTTCTGCAGTGACAGTGGCAGCATTTAAAATAATGTATGGAAAATTACTGCATTTCTCAATCACAGCTTGAATGTAGAGAAAAGAAAACTTGGTTTTACCATAAATATTCCTACTCACCTACCCTCTTCTGTTCTCTTTGCCCGGGTGAGTTTTCCAGGACACAGCTTTTGTAACCTGCCAAGGAAGTGTACCCTTGACTATCTTTCTATCTTGCTAGAAGGATAGTTCTTTTTTCAGGAGACAGGAAATTAGGAAGGAAATCTTAGGGAAGGTGAAATGGTCCTAACCTTTTGTCCTTACCGGTATATCTTGCATAAACAGTGATATCTATCTTTCTCTCTCTGTCTCTCTCTCTCTCTCAATATCTCTCTCTCTCTCTCTCTCTCTCTCTCTCTCTCTCTCTCTCTCTCTCTGAATCAAAGGCTGTAGCACAGTGACTGGATCATAGCTCACTACAGCCTCCACTTCCTGGGCTCAACTGAGCCTCCCACCTCAGCCTCTGGAGTAGGTGGGACTACAGGTACAGGCCACCATGCCTGGCTAATTTTTTATATTTTTTAGAGAGGGGGTCTTGCCATGTTACCCAGGCTGTTCCTCCAACCCCTGGCCTCAAGAGATCCTCTGACCTCCCACTGATCTTTAGTGACCAGTGCTCTCTTGGGCAATGCGTGGGGCTGAGGCATTACATTTTGCTGAAATCTCAGTGCTGAGGGAGTGAGTGTGCACATCCTGGACACAGGACAGGACAGAGGCCTGGCCGGCTCTCATGCTCTGATAACCAACCAAGAGACTGGGCCACCACAGATGCTGAGGCCCTCTCTGCACCCTCCTACTCCTCCCAGGCTGCAGGTGCAACATTTTTATTGATGATTCCATTCATCTTTCTTCATACACATCCACACAAGCTTTTCACCATCAATCACATCCTGTTTGCTTGGCAAGCTGCCTTCCCATTTTTGAGTTCCAGAATCCACATTTGCTGAGTAATGCTACCTCCCTAATAGGGACCCATAAGATTTTTCTTTCTGAGGAAAACCAATGTATGGGAAAAGTTCACTTTCTCCAAGAAAATGTTGTGCACACATATGGTCAAATTACAAGATGTGGTTATTTTGAAAGGGAGCGCATGTAAACTGATAGCTTTTGTGAGTTGAGTGCGCCATCCTGGAAGACGCTGCTTTGTCACAGGTCCCCAAGGTTAGCATTGAAATAGTGACTACTATAGAAGATGGTGCACAATTAAAGCCACTTCAGCCCCATGAAGTTGTCATTAGTTAGTTTAGTTTAGAAGCGTTCACTGATCCTAACAATGAAAGATAAGAAAGACTACCAAAATCCAAAAAGAACTGGTGTAGGATACTTGCCCCTCCAATTCAAATGCACATAGTATTTGTCTACATACATGCAGTTTTCTGTAGAAAAAAAATAAAGCTACAGGTCTACCGGGGCTGCTTCATTAATTAATCTGCAGTACTGGCATCATCTCAAAAGCTGTCTTTCTATCTCTAAAAGAGGTGATGCTACCAACAATGACTCAATAAAATAGTGCTTCTGATACATTCCATAGTATAATAATTTTTTTTATTTTTACCTATTTACGTGGTTATGAAGTGCAAAGGCTTTTGCACTTAACAACATACGTCATAATATTTGTTTATCAAAAACTTAAATAATTTGCTAGTAAATATAG